CAGTATGCGTATTGTGATTAATCCTTTGTATACAGCCTTTACATAATTGTTTCAGTGTGCGTATTGTGATTAATCCTTTGTATACAGCACAACTGTATAAATTGCCGTACAGCAAATCTGTAGATAATCAGTTTTTAATAAATGACAGCCGGATATTAAAATAGCCAAAGGTGGGTCTACACAGTAAGAAATTATTCTTTTTTTTTGTTCAAGAATGTGCCATAGATAATACAATTACACATAAGCCGTGCGAGAAAGGTCGATAAAGCTAAAAAAAATTAATGATCTATATTCTGACCGTGACGCCAACCTATTTTTATGCTTTAGTGGAGAGCTCGATTACATTACGACACATTTTCCTTTAAGTTTATCTTTTTTAAACTTTGTCTTATATTTTTTGGAGTCCAGTTGAAAATTCATGGGTCTGCTTTTTTCCATGCTAAGGAGTTCTTGAAAGAGTTCTTGAACATTCATGTTAGTCTTGGCTGACGTTTCCATAAACCCACAGCTCCAGCGACGGGCCTGGTCTGATCCATACAGGATGTCCACTTCTCTGTTCTCAGTCTCGTCACATTTGTTTCCTACCAGTATCATAGGAATTCCCTCAGTGTTCTCTTTAACTTCCTTGATTACATCAAAAATGGGCTTAAGCTCCTCCAGGCTCTGTTTGCTTGTTACTGAGTAAACAAGAACAAACGCATGACCTTTGGAGATGTTCAACCTCTGCATAGCCGGGAATTGGTGACTTCCTGTAGTGTCCGTTATTTGAAGGGTACATATGTTCTTATTACAGCTGATAACCTTAAAAAAAAGTTTCAAAAAACATCTTCAATCACACAATGAGCATATATTTTATCACCCTAACGGGTATCTCTCAAATTATGATATTTTTATGACACAATTTAAAAGTACGACTACAAAGATTGATTTTTTTAATTTAAATGTTTATTAGCTAAAACGCAAACCAGAGTAAGAAGTAGTATAGTATAGGTATTTTAAACCTTATGTGATTAATGGGCTAAAGGGCCATGTCAGTGACCCCTATCTCAGGCATAGCCATTTTTAATTTAGAGCTGTTGATCAGAGAGAAGACAACCAGCTAACATTAACCGCCGTCCATCCATGTGCCTACTTCTAACTGGACAGCAGAAATAACTGTCACGATCATGATGCCGCCATAGCAATAGATATGGCGGACATAGTAAGATCTATATGCTATT